TAGTTTTAGGTTTAATATGAAGTTTAATATAAAGGTATAGTTTTTAGGCTTAATATACCAGGAAATGGCAATGTGTTGTTTACTTCTGTTTTATAAGTAAATTCATTATATGTTCGGTACTATTTAGTTTATTTACAAGATCAAGTGATATTACGTTGAGCGAATATATCAATAAGGCATCGCTGATATATCGTACTGATTTTAAACCAAACATCTACAGAAAATCCACTAATAGAATGATCTTATAAACTCCTACTCACATCACAGTAATAAAATAAAATCCAAAATAATTATAGGTTTCTAATTAAGAGCATTTAGATATCTATTATGCATGTGCAAAATTATTTTTAGCGAAAAACCAGTATTCAACTGTGCATTCAGCCTAGCTTTCAAAAAAATAACACTTAAAAAAAAAAATAAGGATAACCTAATATCAGGAAAATAGGACCCTTACCTGCGTGCACAGAAAGACACACACGTCAACTTTTTATCTCTGTAGTTTACCTTTAAACCAGTTACCAATGTTCAGGCTCAGGATAAACGCTATAGTTTCGAATACTGATTTTCCAGTTATCCCCATTGATAGACTGGAATATCCCAATCTTCTTTTCTATATTTCTCTCGTCAGCCCTTTTGTCGTCCTCAGCTAAACTTCATAAATGAAATATAATCATTTTTTTTTTTACGGGAAACAACATGTGCTTAGCTTTTTCCGCTTTCGGCGATGCGTCAAATTCATTTGTAATTTATTACCAAGAGAAAAGTCCATAAATTCCTATAATTTAAATCAAGCCATTTCACACCATTTTCACTTTCAGCAACATTCCACATCATAAAACAGGTGCTTCGAGTTATTTCTCTTGTTCAGGAAATATAATTTTATATCTGAATGCATCTCAGACTGACTCTTTAAACATCTAGACAGACACTTAGGGACTGATGATAGCCGCGCACAGAACGGATTGAATTAGACTAAAATATTGAGGTAATTTTTTTTTTTTTTGTAATTTTTGCTGTAATTTTGGATAAACTGAAGTCTATATTGTTAAGCAATTTTGGATAAACTGAAGTTTATATTGCCAAACACACGTTTCTGCCAAATTTTGAAAATATATATATATCTATATATATATATGGAGAGATAGATAAACAATTATTTCTTCTTGAGCGTTTGTTTATTTATATGCAAAAAGAGGGGGAAGCTGTACTAGAAATACCTAGACGAATATTGGGCTCTACTCTGTGTGTTTGCTGGGTAGGCAACTGTTGCTGGAAATATCGTTACTACTACTACTACTACTACTACTCATTCTTTTCTGTTGCCATAGTATTTTAAAATTATTGAAAAACAGAAAAATCCTTTCAAATAAATTTTGTTTGATGTATATTTTTTGTTGAGTTAATTTATTTTGTTTTAACGTTATTTTTTATGGATATTCATATTCGACTAGAAGCTCTGTGTTTTAATTAAACGGTATTTTTGTCCAACTTCATGTGCCGGCCTGAATATTCGAGAAAAATATGCGTCCTCTGGCAGCTGACAAGATTTCTCGAATATTCAGGCCGCTACATGGAGTTAGATAAAATAAAAATATGAATATGAGTATGCATAGCAGACATTAGTTACAGTTTCTGGGAGAGAGTGTGTTATCTACAAGGATCAACATGGCCAGCACACTCGGATTTGTGACTTCGTATCGACAGCCCCATGTGTTCACAAGGATCAACCGGTGGTATGGTTTTCAGGTTTCCAAAGGTGCTTCATATATATATATATATATATATATATATATATATATATATATATATATTGAAACTTGTGCATATATTAGCTGAAAACACTATAATAAGCATTCTTGATGTTTCACTGGCATTTATGGGTACTAATAATGATTTGTGTTCAGTTTTACTTATTTAGTACAAGTGGCAAAATCATTTATTTGAAATTTAATCTGTAGTACTAAAATTTAATCTGTAGTGCTAAATCTTTTCTAATTTTTTAGTAACAAGTTTGGTATCAATAAAAGTGTTGAAAATATCACCAAAGAAAAACTTTACTGAAACTAAAAGGGCTGAAATCATTGTATTGTTCAAAAAAGTGTTATCACAACCCAAAATTGCAAGAAAAGTGAAATGCTCAAGAAATGATGTATAAACAACCATTAAAACCTAACAAAACCAATTCTTTCAAAAATTGTGATTGTCAAGGCTGGAAAAGGTGTACAAACTCAAGGGAAGACAGACTGCTAAAGAGGGTGTCTCCAGGTGATAAGAAAAAAAAAAACTCATCTAACATGACTGCTGAATTTCAAGAGGCAAGAAAACAAAGTGATATCGACTTGCATAGTGAGGAAAAGGTTAATAGAAGCTGGCCTCGGAGGATGTAAAGCTAAAAAAGAACATTGTTGTCTGAGGTTAATAAGAGAAAGAGACTTCCTTTTGCAAAAGAGCATGAAAATTGGACTGATGAGGATTGGGCCAAAGTTGTCTGGTCTGATGAAAGTAACTTTGAAGTAATTTTCTTTTTATAAGTTGAAACTAATTTATTGAGCAAAACTGATTTTATTACGCCTATTAATATTGTATTTTTATTGAATAGAAGATTATCCCTAAAATTTAAATTTTTATCAGATTTTTGTAACCCCTGGAGTTATGTTTATTAAAGAGTTGGAGAAGCACGTGTTGCTCAATGTATTGCCCCAACTGTAAAATTTGAAAGGGGGAGTGTAATGCTTTGGGGCCACATCTTGTCTTCCAGGACAGGAATGTTATTCACATGTGAGAGTAGAATGAATTCCAACACTTACACAAACATGTTAGATCAATGTTATCAACCTTCATTAGAGAAAATTTTCAACAATAACATACCAGATGGAGTAATCTTCCATCAAGACAACGCACCATGCCACACAACCAAAGTTTCAAAGGGTTGGTTTGAAAAGAAAGAAGTGAGGGTAATGAAGCGGCCTCCTCAATCCCTTAACCTGAATCCCATTGAACATCTGTGGTCATGCTTAGGTACAAGGCTGATGATGCACAAATATTCTTCAAAATGTGAATTAGAAGCAAAGTTTCATGAAAAATGGCAGAAAATTGAGCCAATTACTTGTGCTAAGCTGGTTTCCAATATGCAAAAGGCACATATAAAAGTTATAAAATGGAGCCTACACCAATATATTAAATATAGGTTAAATTTACTTTCAAAGCTTTGTTTTTTCTTTAAATGATAAAATAAATGAGTTTCAATTATATTTTAACATTTATACACACCTGCCCCATAAATTTGTCCATAGCTATATATATATATACATATATATATATATATATATATATATATATATATATATATATATATATATATATATATATATATATACAAGCAAAACACATAATACACAAAAAATGGAGATAGGTTGAAAAAAAAAATACAAAGATAAAAAGATAAAAACAAAGATCTTCCTTCGCCCTTTCTCTGACCAATCCTAATTGTTTTATTACCCCTTAAACAGAAGAATATTTTTTCCACAAGATCAAGAAAATTTGAATTCGTACTACACACAAAAGACAATGGTTAAACATCGGAAACATAAGGAAAAATTAATTCCTTTTAAAATGGGGAAATAACCATCTTCGCCTGACGAAGGTCACAAACCCGAAATACGTGTAGCAAAAATAGGGAAAATAAAGTATATTTTAAAAATCCACATTATAACCAAAAGCGTTTGCAGTTTCTCTCTTTAAAATATACACTTTTTTCTCGTTGAAACAACTATAATCTCTGCCGTTATTTTATATATATATATATATATATATATATATATATATATATATATGCGTAAGTATGCAGAAAAATAGGAAAGAACTCGTTAGGTAAATAATCCGGAGTTCCTTAGTGTTTTTGTTTTTAAAAAGACAGTGCTCCATACAGAAGTAGAGCTTATATTGTAATATTTTATATATATTATTTACCCACTCCCATTTTATTTACGGGGGTGGGTAAATAAACATACAAATAAAAGTAAAAATATAAAATATTATATATATATTTATGACAGTAAAACTTGAGATGCAAATTCTCGAATTTATATCATACTTTTGCACTAGAACGCTAAAAATGTAAATATTCGTTGTACGTAAAAGAACTTGTCTTTCATTGATTCAAAGGTCGCATTTTACTTGAAAGTAAAAACTGGAACAATAGAAAGTGAGCATAACAAAATACTTCTTTTTCATTGTTCTTGCATTCTGTTGGGGGTTAAGTTTGTAAATGCTTGTGTCATTTCACGCTAAGTAGGGTGAGAGTATAATCCTAAACTTGAAGATATCCAATTCCATCATCAGTATTCCTAACTTTATCTGATCAGCGTAGACTAATAAGATTTGCAGTGATGTTTATACAATGGAGATTCCACTTTCATATCTTTTTGTTGACAGATAGTCGAACGAATTTTGCATAGAACCAATTCCATTCCTTTTACTTTTCTACATTTCAAAGACAATGTTTACATTAGAAGAAAACCCTTACGACTGAATAGTAACCTGAATGCACCATGCTTTCGCTCTCGTGTGCCACATCTAAGTTACGCTTAGAACAATAGTTTCCAAACAGTGCGGGGCAGCTGATAGGTGTGGCGGAAGAGGATAGATGGTAAAGCGGAAACAGTTTCAAGAAATTCATATGGCAAAAATAAATATGATTTCAAAATTTAAAATATTATTATGAATTACTTGTAATTGCATGCATGAGTCTCATTCTAAATAATTATGAATTATTACTGACTGATTTTATCATTGATATTTTTGCATCATATCAAGTATTAAGAATATAGTAACTAGGCTCTGCAAATTGGAGGAGAGAGTTATCAATGATAATGTTCAGACTTCGAATACGCGGTTATCTCCCTTTCACGCTTTCTCTGTTTTTTTTTTATTTTTACATGTACTTTTTATTACTTAAAATTTGGTAAGGCACGAGCAAATCTTAATTGCGAAAATGTGACCCAGAGAGAGAGAGAGAGAGAGAGAGAGAGAGAGAGAGAGAGAGAGAGAGAGAGAGAAAGCTTGGGAACCACTGGCTTAGAAGAATGTCACCTTAACGTGGTCTAATGGTTAGCAAGCTAGATCAGTAATGACTGAATAGTGAGTTTCATCCTCACTGGGTGCCTCATACTTCAGTCCTGGTGGCACATCTAAGCTACGTTAGGAAAATCACCATAACAAGAAAACTCTCTTTTGTATGTTGTGTCCCTTCAGGATACGAGAGATCATGGCTCTACACGACGTTTTGTTGCTTTAAATAACTTTTGCACCTTGACTGCATCTCTTCGTATTTGTGGCTCCTGTTCTCTCATCCATTTATTCCAACGCGCCAAGTACGCTACGGATTACGTCCATATTCTGCTGAATGTAAGACAAATTGAAAGAGAAAAATAAAAATAAAAACGTAAATAATTGTTTTTCATTTAGTTAAAGTCTTACGGCCACATCACATTGAAAATTCAGTTTACGTACGATCACCGAACAATGTCGAGCCTGGTCAGAACCGCTTGGGAATAGCAGGTGCCCTATATTTGGAAGTGCGGATGGTGCAATGGATAACAGCTCGGAATTAAAAATCGGAGAGCCGAATTCCAATTGCAGTCGAATTCGTTATACTCACTTACGTATAGATACCCTTTGGAAAGATATAAACCCACTTCTTTATTCTTCATATATGGATTAATTATTAAGACTTGTATCAGTAAATCATTATTATCTCCCAAAAAATTCTTGCAATCTAAAAATATTTTCTGCCTTTAAATAACTTGCTAAAGGTTGATAAGCCGTAACAAAGAAATTATAAATCAAGTACTCTATTCGCTGTTTCTCTTGCTTTGAATATACCCCATGATTGTTAAATTCTTTAAACATTCCACATTGTGACCAAGGTATTTCAACTGTCTCTTTCGATGATGAAATTTGAATTAATTCTGATAGCATAAATAAATGTCATATTGTTTCTATAGAATTAATATATAGGTCAGTTTATTATCTGTATTATAATTACACAATTTGTGCATGTTTGTTACCGTAACATGGTAATACTTAGCACATTGCAGCGCAGGTTTTGTTAGCGTAACACTATTAAAATTGAGAATAAGTCACATCCCAATCAAATAAGCCACCAGTTTTCAAATAAATTTGAATTAAATATATATTGACGGAAAATGTCTATCCAAAGTGATAACTCCAGGTCTTTTAAGAGCTAATTCATTTTCTCTTGGGGTTTCTTAAGAGGAATAAATCTTAGTGGTACACCACTGACGATAGATTGACGGTGATAATTACCATTTGTAAATAATAATAATAATTAATTAATTAAAATAATATAAGCTTTATATCAAATCAATGCAAAATTTCGTGCGGGATTAGAAAATTAAAATCAATGAAAATCGGACATGATCTCGTGCAATGATCAGATACTAAATTTTTTGATTAATTTCTCTTACTAACTGATCAAGAGAAAAAGACCAAAATGCGTGTTGCAAACTGAAGATAACAACATCAAACAAGTGCAGACTTTAAATATTTGGGGAATGTTTTAACAAGGAATGGAAAATGCAACACCAAAATCTGGACCCGTATTCTACTAGCGAAAGAAGCGATCCAAAAGCTATGCAAAATACTAAGAAACAGAAAAAAATCGTTAGAAAAAAAGAAAAGAGTGCTGGATTGCTTATGATATGCATCCTCGGATATGGCAGCAAATGTTGGACAGTGTTCTTTCAGATGAAGAGACATATGGTTCTACAGAAGGATACTGAGAATTCCATGAACAGAGCGAGTAAACAACGAGGATGAAAATGGCAGCTAAATGAACACTTATACTCAGAATCAGAAAGGGACAGCTGAGATTTCTTGGACATATGATGAAGAAAGAAGACTTGGACCCCCCCCCTCCCCGACCTCACGTGGTATATTAAGGACAAGAGGGATCAGGGAAGGTAACAAGTCACCTATCTGACGAGCTTGTGTGATTTTATGCTGGAACAGGGGGCTGTAAAACTTAGGAAAAGGGAGAAAACTGCATATTGTCAAGCTCGTCAAGTATTGTTATGTATTGTTTTCCTCTGTCCCTTTTGTCCTGTGAGTATCAGATTTTCCAAACCCTCCTTCCTCATTATGTGTCCTAGAAATTTCAACTGTCTCTTCCTGATGTTAAGTATAAGGGTCCTTTTTATTTCTATTGTCTCTATAACTTTGTTGTTGCTCAAATACTCGGTCGATGGCATTTTCGGCATCTTTTTGTTGAACCAATTTATTTATTTTTTATTCGTCATCAGGAATTACCGTAATATGAAAAAATACTTATTTCTGATCGCAATGCTTATTGTACAACATCACAATAAAAACTTACCTGGGATATCACAGGTTACATAAACAGTAAACATAAAAATCAACCAATAATTTAGCAAAGAGAATATTTTCGACACCGTTTAGTGTTCTATCGGCGATTATGAATCAAACAAAAAAATTAACACCAACAAAAAAATAAGAAATAAAAATAAACATTTTTGTTTGTTTTTAATGCAATGGTGAATTCCACATGATGAAATGGAAACTGTAAGATGAAGATAAAAGCAAAATGTAAACATAAAAGCTTATTACTTTTATTTTATTTTTTTTGTCGGGTGAGGAATCAATACGAAATGCCAACGCTGTCTTCATCTACGACAGAGTCTCTTGGATCTGTCATATCGAGGCTAACGGTGGTCATTCTCAGTACGTCGGCCTCTGAAGTCCAATTTGTTGAAATTGTCGATACTGGTACTGTGGCAGACGATTGTTGTTCCTCATCATTATCTTCGTCTGTTGGAGACTCAACCACCTTGCAAACCACGGGTGAAGAAAGAGTCCTTCCAGTCCCGGGTCTCGCTGACGATGGTAACGTCTCCGTAATGTTCTGTTGGTTTGCCTTCACTTTTTCTTTCTCTAATTCCAGTCTTTCTCTCTCGATTGCTAGTCTTTCTTCTTCGATGGCTAAACGTCTCTCTTCGATTTTTAAACGTTTTTTCTCAACCTGCATTAAAAGAAAAAAATAAATAAACGTGACTTAATTTATTGAGTAATTATTAGTGTGAGTCATATGTAATTTCCGTTTATGTGAAGCAATTGTAATGACGAATGTATCATCTTAACCACAAATCCTGTGTGGCAGTTAAGAATAATTTGGGTGTACACTAACATACGACAATATTGAACGCCAATGGTAGTGGATTGACAAGGATAAATCTCCACAATCGAAGAAAGTTTGAATGTGTATTGTGGGTGTGATGAGATCATCAGGATATTATTCATTCTGATGTTTTTAAAACGCAATGAAACACTAAATGCATATTTATACGTTCAACAACTGCAACCTGTCCAGAAAATTTGGGTCTAAAAACACTTTAGGCTCGTTAATAGAAAAAAAATGTTGGTCTCTATGACAATGCAAGGCCGCATATAACAAGAATAACACGTGAAGAAATGTTGGCTCTCAGTTGATCTGTTCTACTCTACCGGCTATATTCACCTGACCTTACACCAAACGACCACTAACGTTTTCGGTTGCTACAATGCGCTTTGATGGGGAAAACTTTCTCAGATAGAAAATAGATTCCAGAATTCGTCGAAAATTTTTTAAAAACAAAAATTTTACTCAAAATGTATGAAAAGGTTGACTTATAAGTGACAACAGGTTACTGCAAATAATACTGAATATAGAATTGAATAAAATGTAATTGCACTTTTTTTTAAGAATAAAGTTAATAAGCAAAAATGGAAATTATTTATGACTCATTTTAATATAAATGGTAAATATGGCATTTTGTTGGCTGAATCTTGCAGGTTTGTTTTCATTCCCTACAAGTGAACTAAAGTTCGATCCAAATTAGAAATCCTTGTTAGTGAGTAATCTTCGATTTTCAGGAGGTCAGTAAATGATGTTGAATTGATTAAATTACGTCACTTAACATCCTTCTTAATTTACCTAAATTTTTCAGTTAGCCTGATAAATATTTATGAGCATACCTTAAAGTTTTAAAATTGGAAAAACTAACAATTTTACCTTTGTTTATAAATGCTTATACTGAAAAATAAAATCTTTACGTTTGCCTTGAAAAATTTCATTAGAAGACAAAACACGTCGGCTAAGGTAAGTTTTCCTTTTGTTTTTATTCATATTGTCCTTTTAGAGATATATATTTTAATTATATCTGAAATTTTAGACACATATATATATGGATAGATATATACAAGCACATATACAAACACACACAGACATCCTGCATATATATATATATATATATATATATATATATATATAGATAGATAGATAGATAGATAGATAGATAGATAGATAGATAGATATACAAAGTATAACAAAAATAATTTATTTTACAAAAATTTGGGGGCGGGTTCCTGACATCAAAACAAGGCAAAATGTCCATAAAAACATGTCCAAAATGCCATCGTTGTGTCCCAACACAGCGACTAGCGGACACTTTCAAATACTCCTGCACGGTATCCAAAAGTTTCGCAAACCTCCATGACACATTGATGAAGCGTCTCTGAATTATTAATGTCTGCTGCATAAACCAATTGCTTTAGGTGGCCCCACATATAAAAATCCAATGGATTGAGGTCGGAGAAACGTGCAGGCCATGAAACGGGTCCTCCCCTACCTATCCATCTTTTATGATCGATATCAGCGAGTGCATCGAGATAACTTGACTAAAATGTGTTGGAGCCCCATCACATGCATCTTCGTATTAGCAATGGTACGTCCACTAGCAGGTCTGGAAGTGTATTCGGAATAAAATGCTTGTAGAGACTCCTGTAAGACGCACTGGGAGAACATATGGAACTACCATATATTCACTTGAATTCCATCTCAGACATTAATAGCAAACTGATGTTGGTGTCTAGCCTGTATTGCACCATGGGGATTCCGATCCGCCAACAAATGTTGGTTGTGTAAATTTGTTATTCCATCTCTTTCAAATTTTGCTTCATCCGTAAACAAGACGGAAAAGACAAACAATAGATCGGCATTTTGTGCAATAAACCATCGGCAAATGTTTCCCAGCGGAGAGTGGTCAGAGTGCGAAAGACTGCACACATTGCAAATTATACTGATACAGGAGCTGTTCTAGATGTGTACCCTCCATGCGGTACTATGAGATGCACGACATGCTAGTACCACTTGATGTTAGCTGATAACTGGATCGTCTCTAACAGCTTGTAGAATGTGCTCTTTGAGGCCAGGTCTACGAGCGGATTTCAGTCTTCCTCGATCCATAGTTTACCGTACCATAGACCCTGTCTCAGCAACGCGATAATAAACAGCCGCAAATGTTGGATGACTCGGCTGCCTTCGGTCTGGAAACGCAATCTGATACAGCCGCGCAGCCGTTAACATTCGCGCGGCCGTATGTAAAAGTCATATCTGCCTGCTCACGATATGAATATCCTCCCATTGTTAAACGGAACACTTCTCAGTTAATCACTACTACACACATTAAACACTGAAGACAGACTAGCCATAAATGTACAAGAATGTCAAATGTAACCTAGTCTACATAGCACACAGCACCATCTCCCGTAAACTTTCTTAAAATGTAATAATTCATTTATATGAACTTTTGCCATTGTTTTTGGCGTGAGGAACCTGCCTCAAAGTTTGTAAAAGTATTTTTTTATATTCTCTCTCTCTCTCTCTCTCTCTCTATATATATATATATATATATATATATATATATAAGCATACATACATTATGTTAATTTATCAGGAGTTATAGTGTGGTGAAGCTTATCAAAGGGAGTCATTGAACCCTTTTTTAACGGTAGTGTGACTGTTCCTGTTTACTTGAATTTGCTGCAAAAGTCTGACATGCTACACATTCAAGAGAATTTTGAGAATATATTTATTTCAAGTAAGATTAGGAATCCTAGAATATCATCGTGATGTAAGTGCGTATCTTGATGAGAATTTGCCAAACGCGGGGATTGGACGAAGAGATTCAGTAGAATAAACTCCCAGTTCAACAGACCTCAAACCACTAGCCTTTTTTATGGGGATACTTAAAAAATAATGTTTACGCTACAAAACCGGCAAAAGTAGATGAACTCTAGAGCAGACATTGAAGAATGCGCACAAACGAAATGTTTCATGATTTTTGCGATTCCATTGCTACGCGTTGTTAGCATTGCCAGAACCAAAACGGTCATCAGTTTAAAAACAGGCATAGACAGAAAAAAAACCAAGCCATGTCTGTAGATTATATTAAATTTTAAAAAGGAAGTGTAATTTAATAAACACTGACTTTCTAATCACTCAAAGAAGGTATTTATTTTAGAAGACACACTATGTGTGTGTGTGTGGACTTACCACACAACTAAAAGATTTGTATATTTCTTACCAGTGATCTGAGTTCAAGCTAAACAGAAACTGAGAAATTTAACTGCTGATTTTGAAAACAGGAATATTGACGCAATACAATTTTTCTGCACGTATATATTTCAGACAGTTTTGCCAGATTAAATATGCTTAGAAGAAACGCTAGATGTGTGTGTGTGCATGTGTATAAAAGTGCGTGTGTATGTGTCAGAGAGAGACAACGGTGGTTCTTAGGCCATATTCTCCCCCCAACTGTTATTCCAAATTTCCTCAATTCCTTCCCCTTATTTTGAATTGCCATCTATTTTTTTTTTTTTACGTTTGACATTTTTTTTATATTTATGACTTATACATATGATTGAAATTTCTTCCTTGGCTAATATTCCTTCCCTTAAATTTGTAATGTCTCCCATGGTACAAAGTATCTGCCTTAGGAAAACCTCTGAGTCACAGAAGCAAATATTAATCCGGGGTAGATTTGGTAAGCGACATTGAGGTGAACTGAAAATTGCGTCTGAGGCAAAGTGAGTGGGGCAAAAAACTTTACAAAATAAAAAATAGAATTAAAGTCGAAACATTAGTTAGAATTAAAGAAAAAGATCACCAAAGAGTTGTGAAACTTTGATTGGAGAGCAGGCTTAGGAAGGGCATAGAATGAAAGCAAAAGTCAATTTAACGGCTGTATGAATTGTTGAGGAGCTATCACGTAACATAAAAAGGGTTAAATTTGGATATGACGGGTCAAGTGTTAACTAAAGTAAACAGAGTGATGAAAGAATTTCATATTAAAAAGGAACACTTTTAAAAAATTGTTGTTAATTACAAACTGTATTTGGAGAGAAAAGCGTAATATTCTTATGCATATTTATATTCTAAGACATAAATTTTTAACAAATATTTAGGCATAAAACCTTCATTTCAACATGTTTTGCGTAACTGTACGAATAGAGAATGTGAATTTCTACTTGTGCCGACACCAGGAAGATTCACTAAAAACTCAAATGCCATTCTCTGTCTAATAAAACCTGTGTGAATATATATATTATTACTTTAAACGTTATTTCTAGTGGATAATCATATTTGAGTTTATTTATTAAACAGAATATTTCTTTATTTTCAGCTGCCGGCCTAAATGTACGAGAAATCTTATTAAAGAAAAACTTGCACTATCCGACAGGAATCGAATCTGCATCTTTCGGGGCAGATGGAGCCACCGTTTAGCCCAACACGCCTTACCGCTTGGTCACAAAGAATCAGACGGTCAAATTTCAAGCCAACTTTGAAGCCAAATTTTTATCACTTTAAACTTTATTTTTAGAGGATATTCGTATTTGAGTAGGCGCTTCGTTTATTTATTAATGAGTATATTTATTTTCACCTACTGGTTTGAGAAATCTTCTTAAAGAAAATCTTGCGCCCTTTGGCAGGAATTGAACCTACATCCCTCGGAGATATCAAAAAAGCAATAAAACTAAGACATTATTTAATTAGAAAAGCTTTTAATTATTTTTATAAATATGTTATGGACACAATTGTCTTAAGAAAAATTTTTTTGATGAATACTGAATGTTTACAAGAATTGTTTTCATTTTCTTAAAAAAAAATTTAGAATAATTTATACTTTTAAAATTCTGTATTAA